AGAAAAGAAAGAGAGGGAGAAAGAAAGAAAGAAAAGAAACCTAAGAAGGGCTGTAACAAGGAATTTATGGCTTTGGGGTGAGGGATAGGGAAGAGGGGTCTCCAAAATGTTTGTGGAAATTGAACATTATTTTAAAATTCTGTTTTCCAGAACTTTTTGAAGTCCCCTCGTATGTGTAGAGTGTTTATGACAGTGAGACCTTCATTAACAAATAGGCTGTGGATCCAGCTGGAAAGAATGAAGCTTTGTGGTATTTTGGAGATATGATTCATAGCAATGGCCAAAGTGGGATCAGCTAGGCTGCTAGGTCTGTGATATGGACATATGAGAAAGACTTTTTTACCTCATTCTCAGGCAGAAAAAAAAATACGTCTATACATAAGTTTAAAAAGAAACCACACATCCCCAAGAACAAGGTGACTCACATTGTTCATCTTTCTCTTGCCCTTATACCAGCTACATGTTGCATGCCCATGCCAGGCAGCATCAGTTCACTGTGGAAGAGGGCCACGGAGCCTCAGGCAGAGCCTTGGAAGGAAGCAACCCACATAACATGCACCCCATGCGCTGCTTTTGGAGTGAAATATTTCCTATTTTCAAAAATGTACATGATGTTGAAATGGAAAAGAACTTTTGAGAGCAGCAACCTAGAGTCCCCCCCCCCCCCAAAAAAAGTGTTCTTGGGAAAAATATTGTAATAACCATCATCTGCAGAGCTTGGTTAAAAGAGAGATTGCAGGGTCTCATCCCAGACCCACTGAGTCACAGTCTCCAAGAGCAAAGCCTAATAATCAATCTATATGTTAAACTCTCAGAGGATTCTAAATATTCCAGAGTTTGAGAAACACTGACAAATATTGAGCTCTATACGTTCAATCACTCAATAATTCCAAAGTAAAATGTGGAGAATTCTTATCTCAATTTCATATTAAGTGGCTATAAAAGACTAAACTCTGGGTCTTATGCTAAACTTCTTGAATCAGAAGTTCTTAGATGTGTTATACTTTCAGAAGATCAATTTCTTCCTTGCACAGGAAGAATCTAAGGAACAAACAGGATTAATTTGCCCAACGTTGTAAATGTAGATTGTGGCGGATATAGACTCACACTCAGGTCTCCAGATAAGTCCGAACGTTACATCCCTAGTGAGTTATGTCTGTTCCAGTTTAGCTCCTACAGTCAAAGTGAGTCTTTAGAAGGTCTGGAACTGAAGAGTGGGAAGTACAAAGGGCTGAGAGTGGAGCCCTGACCATAGTTCAAAGCTCCTCCTATAATAAGTTAGCTAGAACAGTGTGAAATTCACATAGTGTAAGATCACAGAGTTCTCTTCTAAGCACCAGAGTAGGGACTTCTTGAAATAGGATCTCAGGGTATTGCATTGTAAAGTAGTTTCACACGTAGGGAAATTGTTAACCATGCCTTTAAATCAAACAGAGCACAAAACTCAAAAAGGTCATACAATAGTTAATTTAACCCATTTTCGTTGTAGTTTTGTAGCTGAAACATGCATGTATACATCAGTTTTTTTTTAATATATCCAGTTTTATGTTACATGTGCCCTGAGCTGACTGGTTCAGTCCCCCAAGTTTCTGCATTTAAGGTTCTTTTACTGCTTTATTTTCAATACTGTGATCTGAAATTCTTTCAGAGTGATGGAAATTGCACCCAAGGTCTTCTGGAGGCAATCAACTAGAAGGACACTGACCACTAAAGGAGAGGGAGTTCCGAAATGAAAAAGCAAACTGGATTTTCTTGGAGGGATTAAGTAATTGCCAGTAACAACAGTGCTATTGTATGATTTGCATTTGGGCTAATGCTTGTAATTTTAGCAAGTGTTTCACAGTGCTACATAATTAGGAAAATCAAATTCTGTATAACTGAATACATAATTCTGTAAAGAGACAGAAGACTTAAACAGAGATCTGGAACTTCTAAGGGTGGAAGGAAGGAAAAGGTAGAAAGTAGGGGTGAGAGAAGGTAAAGTTATAATCATATTCTTCCGATTAAGAGAAATAGGGAATTATGGTTGACGTCTGTAATTCCTTATTTCAATTCTGAAATCCAAAAGCTCTGTAAGAATGGACACTAATGTTTTTCATTAATTTGTTGCCAAACTCCCTTAGCAGCAAAAGTTGACCTGAATTGACATAAGTGAATCCTTTATCCCTTTAGGATGAACATTGAGGCATTTTTCCTGAGTTAATGTTTAATCTCTTAATTAAGGGATATTTCCCCCCAGACAACAGAAAATGTGTTACATAATAAACAGTAATACTTCATGCTACCTCTCTAAAAGTTGAAAAAATAAATTCTTAATTCTAAGACACAGATAACAGACTGTGAACCTAAAATAATGATACAATAACATTTAGGGAGCACTTGCCATCTGTATGAAACTGTGAATCTCTTTTTGTCACATTTAATTTTCACCAGCTATGAAGGATCTATTAGTATTATCTTCACTTGAAGTTTGGAAACTGCTTTTCAGAAAATATAAATAACCTGCCAAGAATTGCATAACTTTTGGTCAAGCCAGTAATGTGAACCTGGGTCAGTTTGACTCTAGAATTTACCTACTTAAATCTTGCACTCTGCTTCTAGGGATGGTTCAGCAGTTACAAAAATTAGTGTGGGTGCTTTGTGAACTAAATGCATAAACACAATAGGACATCACTTGTTAGTCATATTTTAGTTAGTTTATTGAAAATATTTCAGGGAAGCTTCTTAGGAAGGAAGAGCTTATTTTAGTTTACAGTTTTAGTTTACAGAAGTTAAATTTGGGCATCCCCAATAGTCTTGTAAAGGCTATTAATGGTAATAGAGGCGTGGAGGAACAACCACATGATGAACCAGGGAACTACACTGAATTCAGCTTAAATAACCAACCTTCCCACAACAATGAGGATAAGTCCTCCAGTAACCTAAGGACCTTTCACTAGACACACCTATCAGATGCCAGAATTAGGTCAAGAGTCCTCCTTGAATCTACCAGCCCTTAATGTAATACTTCACAGTTAAGAAAAAAAGAGTTTTGGGGGCAAAGTCCTATTCCATCCATAAGAACACATATTCTGTCATTTGAGGGTCAAAGTCCTATCTCCCAATGCATTTCTTTCCCATCGCTATGTTTATATGTCACCATAAATATTACTTCATAACCTGAGGTTCACTTGGACAACAATTTGCACAGACATCTACTGCCTTCCAAAAAAGCTGGCCAGCTCATTGAAGTATACTATTTAAGAATCATTTAAAAATACTGGATCAGGACCAAATTGATGCTTCAATGCCTATTGGTACTAAACTAACTCACCAGCATGTGACTTCAGGAATGGCAGGAATGAACTCATGGTGGATGCTTAGGAAGCGAAGACATCTGAAAGATAGATCAGGATACCATACTGATGAGACAATGGAAAAACATGAAAGAGGATATGACCTTATTTACCTACCTTGGCAATTTGTGGTAAGGGTAATGTTTCACTACGAGGCATTGTTCAGCTGCTTTGAACAATTTTAGAAGCAAATCTCATTTAAATTGTCTGCCACCCAAAGCATCTGTTATTGCTACAGCAATCCTTTGAGGTAGACCAGATTTTCATCATTGCTAGATTTAAAAAAGAAAAAATAGGCTTATATGTGTTCTTCAACGTTGTCTGCCTGGTGCTGATGTTTGGGTCAGAGTTTTCCATCCTGGATCTTATACTATTTCAGGCTTCCCATAATTTCTCTATAGGTCTAGACAGGAGGAACCATCCAATAAATCCTATAGAATCAATCTTATATTTAAAGACTCAATGTTTTCCAAATTTAAGTACATTTAAATAATGTAATATCCAAGCAAAGGGCAATGGGAGGAATAAAAATGTAGAATAGGTCAATTGATATGATGTATGTTTGGAGGGAGCATTTAAAATTTTCACTGGTTGCTGTATTGTTGTCAGTGTAGAAGAACTGCTGAACATTTTGATCTTGTACTGTCAAGAATATTCAGTTCCTGTTTGCCAGGTTCTCTGTCTTACCTCCTCATCTTGTCTATGATGAATCACATTCCCATGGCAACAAAATGTGACCTTGGACAAGGACTAAAGAACCATAATAAATGGTTTAGCTACTATTGTAGCAATGCAGGTTAAGCATAGAACACTGAGTGTGAAGTTCAACCAGTGATTATTTCAGTTTGGACTATGTGTTCTGTAGAGAAGTGTTTCTCAAACTTCACCATACATTCTTTAGAATTAATCATCTCAGGAATCTTTTTAAATGGGGAAAGCTGATGCAATAGCTGTGGTGGGACCTAAGTCTATGCACTTCTAACAATCTGCAATGCGATGTTAGTGCTAATTATCCCCAGGTCACATTTTCAGGAGCCAGTACTTTGAATCATCTCCATTCACAGGCATATATATAGAAGTGAATACATTTGTGGAGGAAGTACTATTGTGGATAATAACACTAATGGACATGCCACCTCTGATATGAACTAGCTGTGTGACCATGAGCACACATTTTTATCTCTTTATGTCTCTGTGTTCTCATCTAGGAAAATATGAATTTGGCCTGCATGATGTTTCAGATCACTTTGGATTGTAAAATTCTATGAATATCTGGTGTACAAAAATACTTTAGAATTGAGGATTGTTTGAGGAATAATCAACCCAATAATATAAAGAAATGGAGGGAAGAGAGAAAACTATTCTGACTGTTTTGTATGTCTTCTTAATTCCAAATCCTCTATGTGTTCTAAGGTAATACATTTCTTCTGAATGTGCAGACCTTTGACATTCTCTGTAAAGAAGAGGCAACATTGAATGATGGACAATTTTTGACATCTATCCAACTCAACTCTCAGAATCTTCACAACTAAGGAATTCTTCACTGTTAAGAACTTTGGCTCATGACACAGCCTCTCTGATTACGGACAAAACTCACTAGCAATCTCTTGATTTCTGATACTGCTACCCCATTCCCCTGAGTCCCACCTGATTCCAATAGAAATAATGGCTAAGTACACAGAATCAGCACCTGCCTTGCAAGTAGAGCCTTCCTTTCTTCAAGGTGAGAATCTGAATCAGCAGCCACAAATACAGAGTCTGACAAAGGAGAATCTTGACTTCGGAGACCAGGTCATGCCTACTTTGGCCACACCCATGATGCCTGCACCCTGCTTACTTGAGCACTTTGCCCAGTTTCATGGTGACCCTGCCAGTCTCTCAAGGTTTCTTGCTCAGCTGACTACCTACTTGAATGCTCTTAAGAAGAATAATCCTGCAGATGATGACCAAGTCAAGCTCATTTTTGACTATATATCTCAGCAGATAGAAAACTGTAGGGTCACATCTGGACCAAACCAAAATGCTATGCTGAAACAATATGAGAACTTTGTTTTTGAGTTCCAACAGTCATTTGGTAAACCTACAAAACAGGAACTGAACCCTCTGCTGAATGCTCAAGTTGTCAAAAGGAATACCTCTTCTCAGCAGGACACCACTACACCACACCTCCTAGCCTCAAATCCGAGCTGTAATGAAGCCGACCAGAGTGATCTGTTCCAAGAGGGACTACCTGTTCCCATGCTGGTTGAAGAAAGTGTCACTGATATGGACAACCTCCCAGATCTTATCACTCAGTGCATTCAGCTGGAAAAGGAACGTAATCACAGACCAGAGATCTTACAGTCACAAACCCAGCAACCTATGTTGGCTTCTTCGATCCACCATGAAGCCCTCTCTTGTTCTTTAATTCCATCAACCAAGGAAGAGCCTATACAGCTGAGAGTAGGCCAGCTGCCTCTCACCCCAGCCAAACGTGCCCGCCAACAAGACACTCAGTTGTGTCTCTACTGCAGCCAGTCTGGTCACTTTACAAGAGATTGCCTTGCCAAACGTTCCCGAGCCCCAGCAAGGACAAATAACCCACCTTTCCAGTAAGAAAGGCCCAGGAAGATCACTTTGCAAGCTTAGTATCGCTCTCACCCCCAGCCTTACTGACTTATACCCTGCATTAACTTTCAAAATACAAATTAGGAACTGTGATACCACTTTATGGCTGTGCATTAGTGCTTCTGAGAATTTAAACAACCAGATCTTGCTCACTGAGAATTGATACCTCACCAAACCTGACCAATGATGATTGCCATTCATAGCACTTTCTGCAATTGGGACCAGTTCCACAAGAATATTGAAAGTTTGTAGAGAAAACTTTGCCCAGTCTGAATCACTGGAAAACCCATGTACACCTGAAAGTGCATTGGAATACCAATACTCACCAATAGATGATAACTGGTTGTTTGCTGACTTAACTCTTTCATTTTGTGTGCCTAAAATTAAGCCCAAATTTTTACCCACACTTATTGGTCTGCATTCTAATTCCTTTATGTTTTTGGACCTTTGGCTAAAACTCTAACTGCATTTTCATATTTTGCTGCTATTCTCCTCATGGAGGCTAGATCCTGCTTATCCACTGATGAAGTATGGTCTGGTTTCCACACAAACTAACCCTCCTAAAACAGCAGCTCTTCTACTCTTCCTTAACGCTGTGTGTTTTTTTATCATTTAAAGACCTCTACTTTCCCAACAAATTGAACCTCTTGAGTATTGGTAAACAAGATTGTACAGTCATTTAGCACTTTCTTCTGAATTGGTTGAGGGCTAGAACTTCTTACAGGTACTTACATTTAGTCAATACTCTATACGTGAGGTTCCATAACCGAGTCAAAATGGTGGAGGATAATGATGACCTCTGAAAGGTATTTAGTAGTAGTTGGGGAAGAAGTCTCATTATTAATTCCTATGTCTGCAGCATGTTCTTGCTGCCTTACATAGAAAACTTGGTGAAATAAGGTCTCCACTAAAGACTAAGAGGCTCCATGATAGTTCTTCTCTCTAAGGAGCCTCAGTGTGGCTAGCATCTAGTATCACTGCACATTGTTATTGATCTGCATCACTCTGGAACTCTTATCTACTTGAGGATACAGAAAGCAAAGAATAGCTGACAACAGCTGAATCATCTCATCTGAAAAATTTTAAGGGAACTTATAGTAATATAGTATCTGTGCACAAAATTCAAGAATTGGTGTTTTGATTGTGTTGCATTCTTGGCACATACTAATTCTATGTGCATATCCCTGATTATTCTGAACATGTATAGTAGTATGCTGAAAAGACAAAACTCTAAAATTTTTAAAATGTCAAGTTATGATCAGTGCCTTCTAGTAATGACCATCCCTCAGTTCCTTGATTCTTGGTGCTGATATGTCCCATTATATAAGTGATGAAAAGCTCAATAATTCCATAGACCCTAGTGTTCATAGAGATCTCTGAGAAGTGTCATTGTAATTTGGCCTTGTCCCTAGAGAGTTTTGCTGAGTTGTCAATAGTTAAATCCAACCAATATTTAATATCTCATCCTGCAACACAAATGAACATTTTCACACATCAGTGCCTCACTAACATTGTACCAACACTTGATTGCCTTTACAAGGGTTCTCCTTCATTAGTTACTTACTCTATTCCATATCAATCTGTAAGATCCCATAGTGAGGAGACCTGAATGCCCATATTCCAGTGCTATCCACAAATTTCCAGCTGCAGTAGTATGAGTATCGGGTAAACTGTTTGAACTTTTAATGACTCTTTGTTTACTCTGACAGCATTCAAATTTCTCTCCACAAACTCTATAATAAAATACTAACCCGGTGGCTTCCCATCACTTTTCTTACAAAATCCAATACAGTTCTTCAAAGCTGATAGGAACATTTAGTTCACTTGATCACCAATCTGTTTCCTATCTTAGGACCACAGTTTATCCTTGTGGCCTCTCTTACAAAAATACATCACCTTCTTTCCTCTTTTGACCTTCATTTGAAGAAAATTACCTTAATATCAAAACACCTCAGAGTTCATAGCCTTTTAGAATAATATAATCAATGCAGGGCTACGAATTTAAGTTTATTTCCCACCTCAAAGGACTCTTATTGAGGTTTTCCTAATCAATAACCTCTTGTAAGTCATCTACAATTGAAGAGCTGAAGTGGGTTTATGAAGGACATGTGAGATAATGTTTTTGCTGCCCTCTAGCTAACAACCATTTTATCACTTTAAAATTTTGTTATACTGACACCACCCACTATATCATCCTCTTCAACTGGAACTAACTTCTCTAAGAGTGAAAATATTGAGAATCTAGAGGACAGATGATACGTACCTACTAAAGGATGTGTTTTATAACTGCAAAGACTAGAAGAACCCCTAACTCCAGTCAAGGTTGTGGTTTATGGAAGCAATTCTTCTATAGAACTTACACCACCAAGAAAGAGAAAATTTAATTATTTTATGATGTCTGAAAAAGGAATTATGAATAGGAATATAGTCTACATTCAGTCTGGACAGTGAGGCACTCAAAAAACATAGGTGATCAGTAATTTTTCTAGGTTCAGATGTTGGCCAGAAAACCAATTTGTTAGATTCCCCTCTCATTTCCCCAATCCCTGCAGTGTGGTACAGTGTGGTGGAGGCATCAAGCCACCACAATTTGTGATATTAGCCAATAATGTCTTCTAACTCCTTTGCTCTGGATCCATGCTTTCCAAGTAATCTGGTTGTAATCACATTCTTGTAAAAATCTTTTTTATGGAAAGAAAATATGCTAACCACCTGGCAGGAATGTTCTACCCTATTTATCAGTTCGTTCTCATTATAAGTGAATAAATCAGTGTTTGGCTAACACTTCATTTTCTTGTGGGTTTTAATAGCATCAATCTTCTGGATCCCACTCACATCTGAGTACAATGGGGGAAAAAAAGATTCTCACTCTGCAGTCAGCATCACAATATAAATCACCATGAGTCCTCTGAAGACTGGCTTCCCTAGAATCCTGAGCTCAACACCAGTCAGCTTAGTTTCCTTGTTTATCTCTCTCATTCACTTCCCACACTTACCTCCACTCATTCAAAGAAGCATGGGTATTAGACAAGTGCCTTTTATTATTCTGCGTAGTTATGCCTGTCAGAATATACTACCATGAATGAAGACATAATACATGACTATAGACCTGCAACTGTTGAAAATCACCTTTGGAGTGGGATGAGTACGTGACTGGGCTCACTTTTGCCACTTCTAATTTGTCCAGATGACAACGTGTGATTTTGGCATTGTCTTCACTTGTATCCATGCTGCTAGAAAAATACTATCTTTCTCTGGACTCAGAAATATCATTTTTACCCAATGCCATCTTGCATATAACCACAATACTTACCTGTGACACAAAGTAGAGCATTTAGAATCTGAAGAATCTCCACAAACATCTTAGCAAAATAAACAGCTCAGCGTCTTAGAAGGGCTTTAGGAACTTGTGTCACATCTGTAAGGATCTTTACATTTGGGAGCCTATTTCACTGTCTCTCTATGAAACTCCAGACTTCACTTGACCAAAACAATGAAAACATTCAATGGAACCTGGCATCATGGATCTTCAGTGTCATCTTGGGACAAGAGTCACTGCCCTTGTTTTAGAAAGCAAAGCCCAGAAATAAGTTACGGTATTTATGAGTAGAGCTATTTCATTGAAAGTGTTTTAATATACAGACCATACTGTCATATTATTTATTACCATTGTACTTTTGACTATTGATGCACTATATCAGCAATATTCTCCCTGGCATTGATTTTAATTATTAGATATCCTTGAACTTGTTTACTGATAGTTGGTTCTTAGTGCTTGTCTGGCTCAATGGCAACTGTATTCCACCAGTCCTATTTGAATTGGTTACATTCCCAGTAGCCCACTAGAGGACTCTGTAGAACCTCTGTATTCCTGTGCACAGGGACATGAAATCTGGCTTTGTAGACATCTAAAGAAAGGAAAACTAACATTTGTTAAATGTCCTCTTTATACCAGGTACTGTGCTGAATGCTTTAATTTGTTAATGATACTTATTGGAGAACTGTATTATTAAATATCAGCTATCAATTTTTAGCATTTAATAGTCACCAAACTTATGAGATAGGTGTTGTAATTTCAGTTTTAAATTATGAGGTGAATATAAGAACAGTTAAGTTACCCTCCGTAAAGTCATAAAACTAGTACATAACTGAGCTAAAATTTGAGAGCATATTTTCTGATTCCCGAGCCTCAATTTGTCAGATAAAGAAGAGAAACTGTATGAGTCATATTCATCAAGATTAGCCTAACTAGCTCAATTTTAGTTCCCATAAGTGCTCCATATATGGAGACCACTCTAGTAGCTGTTATCCCCATATCCACTAGTTGAAATTCATGCTGTAGACAGCAATTCATAACAAATAAGTGTGTTCTAGGGCTTTACAATTTTACTTGTGTTTCTAATGAGTCAGGGAAAATTCCTTGAAATACTAAATAAAAACACTGTGTCTACATGATTTGATTGTGTAATCTCTTTCTTATTAATGAGGATTCTAACAAAGAATTCTAGAAAGTACAAATGCTTCATATTTCCATAGCTGTTCATTCAAAGCCATTGTTTTTTCTAATGGCTCTACAATGCTAAGAGAGAGTAATGACTTTCAAATATTCTGATGCTTATATGCCATTATCATGGGAAAATCAAGATTAAAAGAATTTGATTAATCCAAACAGCAAGTAGTTAGCCTTTTCAATTTGAGAACAGTTCCCACTGTAGCAACCTGAGGGAATATCTAGCAATAGCTCATGAGGAAAAGAGAGCATAGACTTAGAACGTTCTATTTAAGTCAGACTTCCCCTTACGTGCATTGATTTACTTCTGAATAATCTAACAGCATTTCCATTCCCATTCAGTTGTACCTAGGCATGAAAGGGTGTGCATTCATACTGATCATCTCACATGTAAATTTAGAAGCTTCAAATAGTGACAATCAATGAATACTTACTATGTACCAATAATGAGACAGATATATGTGTGAAATCTCCACAA